TCTTCTGTTCAGTTTTGATTGGGCTTTTACTACAGTAAGAAAGTAAAGCACTTTCCCACCAACTAGTTGTATAGGTCGATCCCAGGATTTCCTTTGTAGCTGGAAAAGCCGAGAAGATGTATTCCTGCCTGATGAAGTGAACAATAGGTGCTTTCCAGTTCCTCATCCTTCAGCTGAGAGTCTGCCGAGGGGCAAAAAAGAAAAGCTGGGGATGCGACTCCTTCAGGGTGCGATATCCTCTGAAAAACACATTCTGTGAATTTCTCTTTGACTTTTAATTTGTTTCTTCATACTCCTATATATTTATAAGCTGCTGTTTTTAGTAGAATTTGACACAGCTATGACCGTGAACTGGTTGAATTTTGAGTGAATGAAAAAAATAATCATAACAACACCTTTAAACATGAGTTTTTCTCAAAGGCCTTATTTATTGTGAAAGTAAGGGAATTTTTTTTTAAGATAAGGACTTTGGAGAAATCAAATTTTAAAAATTGCCAAAAACTACACAATAATATTATTTTCATTAAATTTTCAAGCTATAAAGAAGTAAAATACAGTAAAACAAAATCCTTTTAAGAAATAATTGATGGAATTTTCTAGATAAATGATAAAATATGCCATCTTTAGAAAGTGAAGTTTATTCACATTATTCGACCTAGGGACAGGTCCCATGTTGTTCATGGTAGGATTTTGCATATTCTTATGGCAGGCATATTTTAATTTTTTAAAAAAATCTCTTCCTCCTTAATTTCACATTAGTTCTACACCAAATTTTTGCCTAATGTACCACTGTTTTCTAGCTGAAAGGTATCTCTAACAGTTATTTTGAAAATGCTAATTATATCACATTCAGTTTGGTTTCATCTTTCCTCTAATTAACCAGTCAGAGATAAGTCAAGAAGTCCTATAACTATCATAGCATCAGGGTTCTAATATCTTAAATCTTAGAACTTATGACTCTCACTTTGGAATTCTAGCATTGGTATAACCAATAAAAATGGTCTTAGTAATGAGGGAAAAAAGCACTACTATGCATTTAAAAAAATTAAGTCCTTTGACTCTTATGTTTCAAAACATGAAAAATAGAAAATGAAAATCTTTAATTGAATGTCAAGTTCTGTATGCTTGCACATTTTCAAAGTGTAAGTATTACTGTAGTTTTTACCAATTACTTCATAGGGTTGCTTTACAAAACATAGCAATAACTCGTGTGCACAAATTTTCTTATGGTTTTATAGCTGTAGTTCTTGTTCAAATATAATATGGTTGTTTCCTTAAAGATCAGACTCTTTTATTTTTATTTTTCACTTCTTTTAAGCAATCTATCATAATTTAATCTGAAAAGATCATTTTCATTTTTATGTGTATAAAAGTAGAATAAATATATAATTACATGTAGCTTCATTTAGGAAGGAATTTTTAAAATAAAAACATGAAATATACATATATTTTTGAATCGGATTATAACACAGGTATCAGACAGGAAAAAGTATCAGAATCATGAAATCATTTGAAAATGTAAGATTTGCAGACCTGACCTCAAGGAGTAACTAACTGGAGAGAGGGGTCACTTAATTTCCCTCATCATTTTCCTCAGACCTATCTAATCACTCCAAATTAGTACACAGTCTACACAGTCTCAGTAAAAACATTGTACTCGTTCTAAGTGAGATTGCCAGGCCAGGCCCCTAGTCCCCTCTGCCCCCACCATCTGACGCCTCCCTAACCCCTGCCATAGCTGCCTTAATGTCATTCCTAGACAGAAATCTTGTAGCTTCCACTGAGGACTTGCATGTTGTCTCCATTGTTGAAATGTTTCTCTTTAATAGGCAAATAATCATTATAACCTAAAAAAAAAAATCAATCCTAAATTTCAAACAAGGTATTTTTATTGCTTATTCTAGATTGCTTCATGTTTAAAAAAGAAGAAAGAAAAAGAAAAAAGGAAAAGAAATTATCAAATTTCTCAAAATTCTGAGCACTTTCAGACTGGAGGCCTAGCCCTGGTTCTATAGCTGAGTAGTGTCAGGGCTGGGAAAGGCCAACAGGTGTTCTGCTCTCCATTCAGTGCTTTGTCCCCTTGGCTGTGGGACAGAAAATGCCTGGAATCCACTCGGAAATCCTAAAACTCAAAGCTGGCTTTTAAGCTAATTTGTTTTCCATTGCTTTCTTCTAAAAACTACATGCATTATTTGAAATCCAAACAAGTGCATTCATTGCCTCATCTGATGGTAACAAACAGTGTGAGGAGGACAAGGAGGGTGTGTGAAAGCCCCCCGACACCCTCCGGTAGAAGACGCCCATGCTGGTGGGACTGGAAAGACCCGAGCTCTGCTCAGAACAAAGAAAACTGGCGAGTGACTATGTTAAGAAATACTTTCCTTACACAATGAAGAGAAATACCTCTAAGGAATTTTAAACATTGTGTTTCTAATTTTAAAGGATTTGTTTTCTCTCTCTCTCTCTTTCTTTCCTCCATCAGCTCAACTGTTGCTACAGTCGCACCACAGTGCTGGACGTAGTTGTCTCAGAGAGCAGCTCCGCTGCAGTAGAGAAACATGTTAATGTTAAAATGGGGACATTCCTGACCTTTGTAGGAAGTGACATCAATACTCTTTATTTCTGTTTGCAGGCTATACAGTTTGATCCGGAAACCCACCTGCCAACCATTACTGACACTTGTACAGGCTGTACTCTGTGTCTCAGTGTCTGCCCTATTATTGACTGCATCAAAATGGTTTCCAGGACAACGCCTTATAAACCAAAGAGAGGCTTACCTTTAGCTGTGAATCCGGTGTGTGAAGGTGGTTTGTGAAGCAGTTGCTGTGAACTTTGATGTCACCAACATACGCTGATCTTTCAAGATTGTGATCATTGTGTTCAGCTTTTTCCAAATTAAAACAAATACATAAATTCTAAATAAATACCAAATAAAATATATAATTTCTATCTAAATTTCTAAATTGATAAAATGTCTAATGTCAGTGGCCAATTAATGGTCATAAAATAGAATAATTCTTTTCTGATGATAGCTGTTAAATAACTGTGTAGCAGTTAATTGGATGTTCACTGTTAGTTGTCTATTGTGAAAAATTAACTTTTTTGTGGCAATTAGTGTGACAATTTCCAAATTGCCCTATGCTGTGCTCCATCTTTCATTTCTAATTGTAAATGAAATTAAGTATTTTGGAACAAAGGACACTTTAACACACCAGAAAATGTTTCCAAGGAAACATTTTATAATTAAAAATTACCTTTAATTTTAATGCTGTTTCTAAGAAAATGTAATTAGCTCCATAAAGTACAAATGAAGAAAGTGAAATAATTATTTAGCATGGCAGGAAAAGAAAGCCTGAAAGAGGGACTGTAAAACTTTCTTAAGGCCCCCCTCACTGAAATAGTTTCTTATGGGTGCTGGATGCCGAAAGCAAGAGTACATACTAACTAAATACTGCTTGCCACTCACGCTTGAGACAGATGTCTAAACTCCTCACCAATGGACCAACATGACATTCTTCTTTAAATATTTAAACTGTGTTCCTAACAAAATAAGATTTTAGGATGGAGCTCCAGTTAAATCCACTCTTCTGCTGTGCACAGATCTGCTCTGTCTGCTTTTAATAGTAACTTTCATGATTATAGCAATTAATGTTTGAACAAAGCCCAAATTATACAGGGCTGAGTCATGTGCTTCATTATTCAAGAATAAGTAATATGGTATTGGTAATATATATTAAATGTGCAAAACCATTTGACTGCTCTCTATTTTAGTGTTTATGTTTAATTTCAAAAGTTATGGAATAAAAACAAAATATATATTTTCTGTCATTGCTAAATAATATTTTTGTATTTCTCTATTTTCATAATCAGTAAATAGTGTCATATGAATCCATTTATCTTTTCCTATTTTAATATGAATCTTTAAGTGGTAAATTTGAAAGTAATAATCTGTGGCATATTTGTATGACAAATGCAAGATCTAGAAAAATCAAACATTTGATTATGCACTTTTAGAAATGTATATTTACCACAAAACCTGTATGACTGAATAATATCAAATAAAATTTTATAAAGCAACTTAAACATGGTCTTTTGCAGCCTCTTTTGCAAATGCAATTTCATGTCAACAATTTAGATTTTGAGGTAGAGCAGGTTTTGGTAAGTTCTACAGTGAATTCTATGCAAATGTATATATAATACATGTTCCGATCTAATGAGGGTGATGACAGTGTAGTTATTAAAATGATTCACTTCCTGTCCCTCTTACTCAGCTTTACCTACTGAATTTGATTCAACTCTGCCAAAACGCATCTTTCACTGGGATCAGGCCGGGTTTCTTGCAATGGCCCATGAGCAGACAAACGGGAAACAGCAGCCTGCCTACCTTGAAGGCAACATCATCGCTATAGGAAGCATGCATGTCCCTTCATATTACCCTCAGATAGTTTTGCAATATTTAAACTTGCATAAACAGGCTCCTTTGCACTCTTGACATGGTGGGGGATTTTCACTTTTGGAGTTGATAACACTTAGTAAAACGTTCCAGTTATCTAGAAGAGAGATTTGCCAGGGTTGCGTGGATGTCATCATAATGTATTATCCCCTACCTCAATCCAATGGAAGTTCATCACCCCTCTGGGGATATTATGAAAGACATCCCATGCATATATGCCTGAGTCCTCTTTAAGACACTGACTACCAGGCAGAAATCCCCTTAATAGCGATGACAAAAAACATAACCCCTTTCTAAGAGGGCACACAATGCTTTAGCTCTTTTCTTGAACTATTTGCGGAACTACGAATAACCAGAGCCTTGAGTTAGGCCATGGCAATTCATGACTTTACACTAGTTTTGTTCCTTTATACACATTGCTTTCTGCTTTTATATTAAGAAACTTTTCTTTTCCATGCTGTTTGTAGACAACATAATTCAATTTGACATGTGTGGCTTGCAGAGAGACTCAAAATAGAGAAAGAATGAAAATCACATTATACTATCAAGTGACCAGAAGCCATTGATCCTAACACACACATAGTCATAGTTCTTTACCTCCAGACATGAGTGGGGACATAGGGCCAGACCAGAAAGTCTGATTAGTGAGTACTTTCCTAATTAATGTCTAAGAAGCTATACTTAAATGTTCTACATATATAATAGTTAATTTTATATGTCAACTCTGCTGGGCCACATTACCCAGATACTTGCTCAAACATTATTCTGGATGTTTCTGTGAGGGTGTTTTGGGATGAGATTTACATTTAAATTGGTGGACTCTGAGTAAAGCAAATTGTTCTCCATAATGTGGGTGGGTCTCATTCAATCAGTTGAAGGCCTGATTAAAACAAAGATTAGAGCAAGGCTGACCTCCCTCGAGCAAGAGGGTAATCTTCAGAAGAGAGCCTTTAGACTTCATGTGCAACTTTGGCTCTTCCTGGTTCTACATCAGACTGCCTTTGGACTTGAATTGTAGCTCTTTCCTAAAGCTCCAGCCTGCCCACCTGCCCTATCAAATTGTGTGACCCAATTTCTTAAAATAATTAATTAATTCAAAACAATGCTTTGAATATGACAAATTCTATCTCTTATTTTAAATTTTTATTTTTTCTTTAATTGGCACATAATTGTACATATTTATGGGATACAGTGTGCTGTTTCAGTACATGTATAATAATCAAACTAGGAAAATTAGCATATTTATCCCCTCAGACATTTGTCATTTCTTTGCGGTGAGAACATTCAAAATCCTCTCATCTAGCTATTTTAAAATATACAATATATTTTTATTAACTGTCATCCCCCTACTGTGCAATGGAACACTAGGACTTACTTAGTCCTCCTATCTAACGGTAACTTGTACCTGTTGACCAGCCTCTCCCTGTCCCACCCCCCAATGTCTTTTCTCTTGTATGTCATTATTTTATAATCAAAATGTTTATACCACAACTAACTGTAATCTTACCAGTTCGCTTATTAATATCTTTCAATAATGAGTTAAATAAAATTTTTAACATGTGTTCACTTAAAAAAAATGTTTATACCAGAGCTCATCCAATCAGATTATACTTCATAACAAATAGAAAATTTCAATAATAAAAAAACACTCAGTAACTAAGGTGCTATCTAAATTGTTTTATGAACATCAAGGTTTATCTTATGTTAAATACTCATGTGAGAGCTTTGTCACTACAATAAAATAGCTTAAAAATTCATGCTGACTTTGTATATTAAGAAAAAACATTTGTAAATACTAAGAATTTTTATATAAATCATACATTTTAATGCAAAACAAATTCTTCTAGCATTGTTTTAAAACTACTGACAAAAAGAAAATGCCAAAATTGAAATGTAAATAAAACACATCATTTAACTACACAGTAATTTAGTCAGGTAGGTTTATCAGCCCCTTTTCACAGGCTCAAAGAGTGTATGTGATTTGTCCAAGACCACACATTGCAGAGTCAATATTTAAACCTGGTACTCCTTCACCCACTCCACAGCCCACAGTGAATGTTTTTCACCTTCACTTGAGCTTCTCAAACTTCCTGCTAACATGAAAATAGGTATTCACCTGACACACAGGATATTAGAATCTGGATCTGTGCCACTTGCTGAGTGTGTGAACTTGGACACATTAACTAGATCACTAATCCTCAGTTTCCTCATCAATAAAATGGAGAAGATAATGGCCTTACATTTAATAAGTTAGATATAATTATAATTACAGTTGCTATTATTCATGGGCATAGAAATTTTAAGTACAGTTTTAAAAGATGTAATGGTACTGACTAAAATCTACATTTGCTAGACTCAGAGTCAGACAGTCATAGTAATAATTGATGGTATACCTTCCTAAGCTAACCTTCATCATAGCAACCTGGAAAAAAGATATTTCAAGTAGAAAGATCAAAAAAAAAAAATTCTTAAAGTAAGATAACCAATTTTGTCAAAAAATAAAAGATTCCAGTAATGAATCTTAACACATATACAAGTGGGTACTTCAAAAAGATTTTGGAAAAATGGAACTAAAAGATAATGCAAATCTTTCCATTAACTTTTTGAAGACTCCTTATATATAACATATATATATATATATATATTTGAGAAGGTAAAATGCAATTATAATAAACACATTTATCATATTAATATATAATATTAAATATATAAATGTATGTATAAAGATATAAATATAAAATGATCTCATTTTATCTTCTCAATTCTATGAGCTGGTTATTTCTATTCATTTAAAAAAAGGAAATTAAGGACTTCTGGTCAAGATGGTCCCCAGTGTCACTCTTTCCCACAAATCAACCAATTTACAACTATAAAAAAGCAACAACAGCCAAGCTGGGGCTGCTAGAGCTCAGGGAAAGAGGAAGAGAGATCTACAGACCGCATGAAGATGGGAAAAGCCACAGTAAGAGGATGAAAAAAATCCCTCCAACTGTTTTGAATCCCGGCCACTTCCAGGCTGGAGCTGCTGAGCTCATGGAGCAGGAGCTCACAGAAGCCACAGCTGTGCTCTTTGGATGAAGTTGCTTGGAGGCAGGAGGGGAGAAGGGGGCCTTGGTGGCCCCCAGGACAGCAATACCACTAATAGGGTTCCTGTGAACCCACACAGGACCAAGGAGCCACAACAACTGAAAAAAAAGGAGCCATTCAGAAGCTGTGAGTCATTGCAAGGGACCAGACCATGGCCCATCCCATGAGAAGTGTTTGGAGCACAGGCAGTGGGGGAAATGGACCCACTGGGAGAGCAGTGGGGCACAGCAAGAACAGCTGATCTGCCCCCCAATCAGCATAGGACCACTCAGAGGAAACTGGTCAGGAATATAGAATTGCACAGAGTGCAGTTTGATGAAAAGACTCAGGCCTAGACCAGTGTTTCTATACAATCCAGGTGCGCCAGATTTCACTAGACCTGGAAGTACCTATAAAGTCAACCATTAAAACCTGAGCTGCACAAAAAGCATTCACTAGGGAATCAGCAGAAAAGCAGCAATTTAGCTCAAACACAGAGCTCAAGTACTGGTCCCCACAGGAAGGTCCCCTTTTTAGAAGTAAGCAAAGGACAACAAATTAGTTCCAGTGCAGAGTTTGAGTGGTGGAAAAAGCAAATAAATCTAACACAGAGCTGAAAGAAAAAACAAAATACCAACAACCAGAGACAAAGTTTTATATTAACTAGTAAAGGTCTCATTTCACCGAAGAACACCTATAACACCTAGAAGGACCAGAGGTCCCCTGGGCTACCAAGCCAGAAAGGGGGGAGGGCCAGGAGCAGCAGCCATGCCCCCCAACACCCACAACCAGTCCCAAGGATGGTGGCCTTGGGCCTTGGTCACAACCCCCCAACATAAGCAACCAGCTTAGCGACAACCACTGAGCCACCACAAGAAGTGCCCCAGACTCTCTCAAGTTGGGGTGGTGGGGGGTGGAGAGTCTTGGCCACACCCCCCTGACACACTCAACCAGCCCAGCAACAACCACCAAGCTGCCACAGGAAGCGCCCCAGGTTCCCAAGCTGGGGGTAGTGGGAGGCGAGGGCTTTTGCCATACCCACATGACATCTGTACCCAGGCCAGCAATGACCAAGCCACCACTGGAAACCCTCTGGTCTCTCTTGTGGGAATGTGGGGGGTGCCACAGGCTTCAGTTCTGCCCCTCCTCCTTCCTCCTTCTCCCATCACGTTTCCTTCCCCTTTGCCCTATCCCTTTCCCTCCCAACTGCTCTGCAACATCATACAATGTAAAAAAATAATATTAACAAAATAAAATAAAATAATTCTTCTTTTCTAGAAATAAAAATTTAAAAAAGGAAATTAAAAGACAAAGCAGATAAGTGGCTTACATAAATTGGCATGCTTAATTGGAACTGTATTTGGGAATGAAGCTCAGTTGACTTGACTTTCAGGCACCGCCCTCCCTGTCAGATCATTTTGCTGAGTATTATACGTTTTGCTATAATATGGATATTTGGAGATGCATTATTCACTTTTGCACTGTCTTAGGTTACCTATAAATGGCCTGGCAAAATCATGTAATAATACTGCTTGAAAGATAGTGCCCTTAGAAATGAGCTTAT